GAATCCATTGTCAAAAGTCTCTTCCTTATGTAGACTCTAAAAAAAAAAAAAGCATTCAGTTCTATCCTTTTCCTGCAACTTTTCAACCTCTTCCATTGAAAAGCATGTTTCACACTCTTCAACAACTGCCAAGTCTTTTCCCTGAAATCTCCTACACAGGAACTACCGACAAAAGGACCGAACAGAGTATTTGGTAAATGACTCTATGGCTGCTAAAAACACATGCACACAGCCTCCCCTTGAGTTTTTTATCCTGAAGTTACTTTACCCAAAAAGTCACACRAGGTCTCCTAGCATCACCCTGGAATGAGCTACTATAACTCCCACTTCTTCCCTGTCACTGTTTCCCAAGACAAACTGCCAACTGATAAGCGCAGTCTCTATTCCTTATTCTTTGACACAAAACATGACACAATAGACAGTGTTTTGCTTGGCACCATCTTTCTGAGTGATCCAGGCTGTAGCAGTGATGCCTTTTATTTATTAATTTCTTGTTGTTGTTGCCTTGCTGATTTCTGAGTCATTCCTACTGATCAATAACAATTCTGTTTTCTTTCAGTTCATTGATAGCAGAGTTCAACAGCATAGAGTAAATGATCAGCTTCTCAGTGCTTATTCTCTCTTACAATTACACATCTCCATCTATTTGTAAAGTGACAGCCTTTCTGTGAAGTTCTAGTGTCTTTTTTTGCAAGAAAAACATAGCCAAAAAAAGGGCTAAAAGTGGTATAGCAGCAGCATCCATTCCTAGCCATTCCTAGCTCAGTCTACCTTGTTTAACTGGATTGTAAATGCTTTAAGGCGAAAGTTATCACTTGCACCTCAGCGCGTGGGCTATACAATTGGGGCTCTAACTGGGAAAAAGCTGCTCATAGAAACACAGGAAAATGAATATCCTGTACTCAAAGCACCTGCAGTGCAGTCTACACACATGCTTTAGCTCCAGCCTCTGACAGAGGAGCTAGTCACAGCRCACATTAAAATGAGAGCTGAGCGCAATGCAAGAGCAACCTGCCTCCTCCCCAGAGACTGGATCTGAGCTGTGAGTGACGCTCTGGAGGGCAGGTGCATCCATGTCATCCAAGTCTTTGCCGGCCCTTGTATCAGGGCACATGCCAGAGGGGAGGCTACCACACCCCAGGCTATCCGGGTTTGCGGTTTCCAGAGGGTGACAGGTGTGGTTACAGGGTTGAAACACTAGTYGTTGGTGACAGTAAACACCAATCCTTGCAATGTGCTACTGGATATTAGCCTTCCTAGTAGCCTTCACTTTAGCCCCTTGATAGGGACCAGGAAACACAGAGTAGAGTTTTACAAGGTCTTCTAAGCCTCAACATCCTGCATTCTCTGCTCCCCAAGATAGAGTTGTGACATTTGGTGACAGAGCCATGATGACTTTAATGCAGACAGCCTGCGCACTAAGAACAATTTCAAAGGTGTGAGCAGAAACACAGCATCAGAGGGCTCTGCTGCCCCAGCTGTGCCACCATTGCAAACAAACTAACAAGGGGGTATAAACCAAGAATCTATGACTATTGCACATGCCACTTGCACTGTGATTCAAAAAGTAAAACAAATTCCTGCAGTCATATCTCCCTTCACATTATTTTGGGGAACACAGACTTTCTCAGAAAAATCTAATACTGAAGAATCAGATCATGGCGAAGACGACACCCCCAAAATGAGTTTGATGTAGCTACATAGGGGGTAAATCTGGCTGTCATTGAGTTTGGAGAGGATAGATGGTCTCTAGGAGCCTTCATTTGTGTATTTGATCCAGACAAGGCTCTTAGCCTAGCTAGCCAAAAGAATGACATTTCTCCACTGCATAAAGCACAGTCCATACTTCTCCCACCTCTCCCCAGTTGTTTTTCTTCCTCTTTCCACCTGTTGCCTTTTTTTTTTTT